AAGACTTACAGAACATGGCATCTAAAATGTTTTAAGAACTTAGGACTTTTCATGACATCTGCACCTGATAGCACCAATGTACTTCAAGAGGATGATGGGCATGAAAGAGGCTTCATAACATACTTCTTATGGAGTATGTTAGCCATTTGGGCAAGAAACGTCTCTTGTCTGAACTGATGGATGATATACTATATAAAATGGACATGCAGAACCCACAGAAAAATGCCTGCTGAATTTGTCTAAAGAAGGTGAGACAGCCCTTCTGGGTTCCCACTTCATGAAAGAGTCTGCCAGACATTCTGCAGGACACAGAAGAAATTGATTGACCAACTGCCAATATAGGCAGAACTGTCTTTGATATTTCCTGCTTCATGGAAGAGTCTGTCAGATACTATGTGCCTGTAGGCTGAAGATGGATGCCCCTATGTTGCAGAAGAACTTGGGTGATTGTCCAGGCAGTGAGATGTCTTTGTGAATTCTAGAATTTTGGAAGTTGCTTACAATGCATTTCCTGTTTACTTAGGTAATACTATATCCTTCTGGAGTCTTTGATGGAGTTAAAGAAAGGTAGTTATAATTATAAAAGATAGATTCAATAGAAAACTCATAAAGATATGATAAATGATAGTATATTTTTCTTAATTTGTGAAATGTAAATGTACTAAATATTCTAACTATAATTCTTGCTTGATAACTGTTTTGCTGTATGTAATTTTGCTATGTTAAAGTTAAAACCTTTTTTTTTAGACAGAAAAAGAAAGGTGATGTGGGATTCCCTTCTATATGCATTGAATATGTTTTATTACCTTTGGTTAATAAAGAATCTGACTTGGGCCTACAGCAGGGCAGAATATAGTCAGGCTGGAAGATATATATACAGAGATAGTAGGTGCAGTTGAGGAGATGCCATGCAGCCACCACCATGTAGCTGCTGAAGGAGACAGACACCAGAATTATACCTGGTAAGCCACAGCCTTGTGGCAATACACAAAATAATAGAAATAGGTTAACTTAAGATGTTAGAGTTAGTTAATAAGATGCCTAAGTAGCAGACCAAGCAGTGTTGCAATTATTATAGTTTCTGTGTTATTATTTTGGGTCTGGGTGACTGAGAAATGAACGAGCAGCCTGTGACTACACCTATGTTTGTGCGTGTCACTGTGTAGGTGCCTACAGATGCCAAAGGCATTAGATTATCTGGAGCTGGAGTTACAGGCAGTTGTAAGTCATTTGACTTGAATGTGAGGAACCAAATCTGGGTCCTCTCTAAAAGCTGTGCATAGCCGTTCCTGCCTGGCTATCTCTACCCCTTCAACTGTAGTCTCAAAGAAAATATTCTCTTCAAGTTTATTATATTAGAAGAATCTTGCTGGAGGTGACCATGAGGCCCCACTCCTAGCTGAGGGGATGGAGAGGTAGTCATATCTTTCAGGGATGTGACTGCTGGTAGGTTTCCCAAGCTCAGCTGAATGGCTCATCAGCATGTGAGCACCACTAACGTGACGCCCTGGTTAATTTGTTTGTTTGTTTGTTATTGTTTTTATTTTTTAAAGAAGAGAACAGGAAGTTGGGGGATGTGTTGGGGATTGAGGTTAGTGGAAGAGGAGAATTAGAGGTAGCTATAAACAAAATACATTCTACATGAGCATGAAATTGTCAAAGAACAAATATAAATTTATTAAGAAAATAATGTTCCTTTCCCATCACACTCAGGTTTTCTAGGAGGCTCACCCTTCACATCAGATCATTTTAATGATGCAGAGGGACACACAGCAATAAGTTTTAAGAGGGAGATTTACTTATTTCTAGTTCTCATTTTACCGGGATCAAGGGAGTTGGTAGTGTACCAAGAAGAGGAAAGAAATTGTCAGTTATCAATCTTCTCACCTCCTCTGCTACCTCTTCACTGTGGTGCCTCTCCATATGGCCTAGGGGACTATGAAGAGCTGGTTTTCTCGATTTGGAAATAAAAAACATAGTTGTTTCATAGTTATGTGAATATACAGAGCACTGCTGAATTACACAAAGCAAGGCAATTAGGAGCCGGGAGTACAATCCAAGTGGTACAGCATGTGCTGAGAACTCATGGGGCCTGGCTCCCTTCCTTTGTATCTGTAGAAAAGAGTGAAGATAAATTTTATGATGTGCATATTTCACTACAATTAATTTTAATAACTTTAAGGATGGCTGGGATGGTCATATACCTACACAGCTGTTTTATTTCTTTCTAATATATTAAGAACACAAGGACTCCCATGCTATTAAAACATCTTTGAAGATTTTCATAGCCCATCCATTCCCAGCTGGACTTTATTCTCAAGTGCCATGGTTCTCACCTAAATACACAAAGTTATTAGAATTTCAACATGGGCAACTCGAGATTTCTAAAGTACCTAAAAGAGACCATTAAGTGTCAAAAAACAAAAAAAAAAAAACTCTCATAAGACACATTAAGTCTGCATGGATCTCACATCCTATACCCTGTTCTTCTCTTTGTCCTGTGGGCAACAACAAAGCAATGCTGCAGGGAAAATGGACATTTCCATAACTTTGGAGCTTTTAAAGTCTGCTTAGGTCCTCAGTGAGTTAGATTTTGCCTTCTTTCTTGCAGGTGGGATATCTCGAAAATGATAAACTTTCTGATGTGTTGTAAAAGGATTGCTGTTGTCCTCAGCCCCAGGCCAGGCATGGTATCTTGATTGGTGACTTATAATTTAACAAGAGTTTCTCTCTCAACATTTCCCATTGTGACAGAACTTGAACTACACACTAAATTATTGGCCTTGCCTGAGCAGCCACTTAAAGCAGGTCTAAAATTTTATCTGGACATGGTCATATGTGTCCTTCCTAGAAATGAGATTGAGGGTGGCACTTAAGGCATAAGTTAAAACCCACTGAACTCTGTTTCCTTATTAATGTCTCCCTGTGTCCCTCCCACTTTAATGCAGCATCTTACATTGCTCTAAGTTTTAAAGCCTTCGTTAATTACATAATGCCACATTTTAAATTGCAGAGACCGCTATTAAAACGTGTTCTTTACTGTATGCTATCAATGGTATATTTTTAAAGAAGATTTCCCTAGAAGAGTCTAGAAGTTCAAAAAAAGAGGATAAATAATCCACCTCATTTTTCATATATCTTAGGTTCAAACAGCTTTTCTACAAGGGGTTTGTATACACCAGGCACCATGCCAGGTGGTGGGAGTATGAACAGCACACCATGCTCATAAGTATCACACTACTGTCCCCATCACTTGTGGGCATCGGTGAGCACACATGTCCAGTTTCTGGGCTTCTCACCTTCATGAAGTATTTTTCCTTCCAGTAGCTATGAAGTTTTAGGTATAGCCACCTATACCTAAAGTATAGGTATAGGCCACAATTTGGGGGAAAGGTCATAAACATAAACATAGCATGTTTTGTTTACAAAAAACATATAAAATGAACTACTACTGCTCAAGAATCCATTGTAACTTACAGATGAGTAGTTGAATAATTCACTTTTTAAATGGTAGGCATTACAGTCTATCACAGAGACCATGTTCTAACTATGTATACTCATATATATTTATATATATCAAAATGTATATATACATCAATTATATATCACATATATATTGTTCATATATATCAGATGTATGGTCATATTAATGGAAGTGCTTAGGTTTATATTTTCAATATATCATAGCTATTCTTGGCCACCATTTTGAGGAAAGGTCTTAAACATATAGTGCTTCAATGTATTTCACATATTTTTTAACTCTATCCAATCTGAACCTGTAGGTTCCCTATAAAAATCAATGAGTCACTGCTATAGTAACTCAGTGGGATCCAGGAGAGTAGTTATTGATCCCTGCACTGCTAAGGCCACCAACCACTCTAGAAGTCTGTCATCTCCCTGAATTGGGCACCTCCAACACAGACCAGCTCTTGTGCCTTTATTTACCCCAATATGCCCTCATGTTTCACAGGTTCCAGGATGTGTGAATTGCTGAAAGTCCTGTACAATGTCACCCACTTCCCAGTGAGTTGAAAAAAGCCAATCCCAAGAAGTGGAAATAGAAATTGCTTATGATCACACAGTAACTGAGAATAAAGGATATGTCTCAGGTATACATTTCCGATTCCAATACTGATATGTTTTTCTCTTTTACCCTGCCACTTCTCAACTACGAAGGAACTATAGAGATGTGTGTGTGTATGTGTGTGTGTGTATGCACATTCATGAATGTGGAGGCTGATATCAATACAATGTTTTCCTCAACCGCTCTGTGTTATTTTTTAAAGCAGAGTTTCTCACCGAACCTAGAATTTATCACTCTGTCTATATTACAAGCCCCTAGGATACTCATGTCTCTACTTCCCCAGAACTGACACTGCAGGCACATGCCACTACACCAGCTTTTTTGCTTGGGTGCTAGGAACCCAAGTCAGGTTCCCTTGGTTCCCTAGTAAACACTTACTGGTTCATCTTTCTTCAGACCCCTTAAGAATCGTGGAATTTAAGTTGCTTCACGATTTATTCAAATATGAAGGACAGAAACAATGTACAAGAATTATATACAAAATATTAAATGTTCTTTGAAAACAATTTCACATATTGGTACATATCCATGATTCCAGCAAGCATTTGGGAGAACAAAGCAGGGGGAATCCCACCTGGGTTTCAAAGAAAAACTCTGTCTCAATGGTGACAAAAAAATAAAATTCACTGGAAAACATCAGAGCAAACAGAATCAAGGACTCCAGAACTGACTTGCTCAGGTTTGACTTCCAATGTGATCATGTGTGTAACTTCTAAGCTATGGCCTAACATATGCATATCTCTGCTTCTTCATATGTAAAATGAGAAAGAAAGCAGCTACTCCTCACTACATAGAGGACTAAATAAGTTGGAAAATACATAGTGCTTAGGACCGCTCTTTTTACCCATTTCCTGTGTTCTCCATTTCCTGCTATTACCACATGCATTGTGCACACTGGTGAGGAACCCAGACTTACTCTCCAGAGTGGTGGGTGGGGGCTTTTCTTGCTGGTCCTTGGGCATTTGGCAAGAGCAGCTGAGTAGTTGCTGGACAATCCCTGGACTTAGCTGCTTAAAGTCCTCCTTAGAAATAGATGGACTACTACGGTTCTGTAGAAATATCTCCACCAGCTGCCTAGCAGAGAAGCAAGCCTGTATGAAGAAAACACGCAATTACAAACCTTAGCCTTCAATCAGGCACAACAGCCACTCAAAAAGCCCAAACTGCACAGGACCCCAACAGCTCATGGATACATTATCGCGAGTTTCCTTGCTATGTTTGCGTTGTTAACTCTTTGCTACCTTCCAAGGTTTATTTAAAAATCTGAAGTACCTTTATTTTATTCTGAGAATCATTTCTTATTGCTGGCATATATCTTTTCTTTCTGATAACTAGAGACTGATTTTCAAAGTGTTGTATGGTGTTCTAACCAGTGATCCCTCAGAAGTTTTCACAGTTTACTTTTCTCCTACTGAAAAATGGGGGGAGCTTTATATATATAAACCTGTGACTTTGCATGATGAAAAGGAGCCTGGTAGTAATGAAATCTCTGGCTTTAGTACCATCCAACTTAACAAGCCTGAGCCAGAAACATGCTTTCGTTTTTCAAAAGAAATGAAAATTTAAATTTAGAAGGGAATGCGATATCAGATAGCCAGGTAGCCAGTATGCTTATTAAATAGTAGGGTAACCCACCTCTGTTAACATTCTCTACAAAAAATAGTAGCAATAACAGTTAATTTTTGTTTGACCTTACCTGGATCATCTACAATTTTATGGATTTTTTTTATGTTACACAGGCATGCTTAGACAAAACTCAAATAAAAGCAACATGCCTTTAAAATCTGTCCTAAGGTGTCTGTCCACTTTAAAAGTAAAAACTAGGGTTGTGTGCATCAAAAATCACAACTTAAAAAATAGGGGCATA